TTTTTTTCAAAAATTTGCGAAGCTGTTGAACGAAATCAAAAAAATGGCAAAAGGGGCATTACCAACGGCAAATCCTTGCGCAACTGAGCGACTTTGGTGAAAAACTCCATATCTTTCGAAACCACAATCTCAACAAATGAGAAAGTCCGCTACAAAAATTAATCTTTGGAAGTGGATTACCAGCAGAGGTTAAAAAAGATAAAATAGAAAATAAAAGATGAAAATGAATTCTACGACATTTAAAAAAACCAAACAGAGAAATGAGAAATAGAAAATAAACGATGACAATAAATTCTATAACATTTAAAAAAAACCAAAAGAAGAAATGAGAAAAACTGCATACCTAAGTGATAAACAAATAAAAATACCTTTTTTATATTATCTATAATTTTAGGAAGAGTTGCTTTTAACTGATTATTTAAAGCTTCGTAATCGCACTGCCTTAATCGGATCTCCTCAGGCTTCAAAATAGAAAGTTTCAGTTATTTGAATAACACCCATTAAATAAATCCACTTTGTTAATTATAGGAGTAACAAGAGTTTTTGGCTTGACTTGAACCAAATAAAAAATTACAAAGCTAACTTAATCGTAAAAATGTTTTACACGGTAAATAATTCTCATATTTAACAACGGTTACGTACGTAATACCAGTAAAGGTCACATGACAATTGTAAAAAATGCTTTAATGAAGAACTCACGTTTTTATCCTCTCGTTTAGCTGACATATAATCAATTAATTTATCATATCGTTTCTGAATCACTTTCGTTATCGGCAGCCGAAGAAACTTCTTAGCTTCTGCGCCTATCCTACAAAATATACAGGTCTAAACAACAAGTAATACAAACCGCCACATTTTAAAAAATTGGCTGCCCTTGCAAGAAAAACTTACGCTTCGTCTAAAAAATGAGCTAATGAAGTGCTTTCCTGCAGTAAAACTTTACAGTATCCTCGAATTTCCGCATTCAATCCATTGTTATTATTAGCTAAAATGGATTATAGAGGATCTACTGGAAAAATACAAGTCGCTATAAAACCAAATGAAGCAAAAGTTGAAGTCTAAAAACCAGACAAGTTAATCTGGATGTCACAAAAGTTCTTTTGCATATCAGTAACTAAACGCAGTAAGCAAATTTACAATTTTATACCGTTTGCACAGCCACTTTAATAAAAACACCTACAAAGTTTCTCATGTGAGGTATACATTTCAACATATTTTTTTGACTGCGTAACAATCAACTGTTTGTAGACCTGTACGGCGTGCAGAAGCTTACATATTCGCCTCTCACATCTGTCAAGATTTGCAGTCATAGTGTCAAAAGCGGGATCTTTATCCTGAAAATCAATATTTAAACAACCAAATAGTTAAAAATCTACCGTGTATTACTAAAATCCCTCTGTCCCCAACGTAAAGTTTGCTCATCTGACGTTCACTTTTCTAAGAAATCTTGAAATGAATGGCGAAATAACAATTCTAAATTTGCAACATTCAAATGGCTTTCTTCACTGTCCCCTCTCTTTTCTTTTTGAAACCAAATTTCAGAAGTTTAAATAACATTGATGAAAAAGTTTTCGAGAGTGAAAATTACCTAAAAAATTAAGTATCCCAACCAAATGGTGAGTCAAAATTTCTCGATTAAAACAGAATTGCACAGTTAACAAGAAAGTATCGCCAAGGCATGAATGAAACCAGCAAGACACTCGAGTACAAAAAGCTGACCATGTGAATAAGTCCAAATTGTGAAGTTAGCCGATATTTGAATCTATTACTTTTCTTTTTAACCGTATGAATATTCAAACGTGATAAGCGCTTCGTCAGTGGCTCCGACCCAACGTTCCGATACTTTACAGCTGAAGGATTAAGATTACAAAACTGATCATGAAAAGAGAGTATTAATAACTGCAAGACAAAACAACCAAATCCAAATTAAAAATCACCGAGTTCTTTGCGCCGTTTCGACTCATTCATTTTTGATGCTAAAACGCTCATCTGTTTCAAGGCTTCTAAAAGCTTAGGATGGTCAACATGATTCAATGGAGTAACCTAAAAAACTTGGGTTAATAGCCGGAGTGACTGAAGCAACTCTTATTTCACTACTCTGGAATCGTAAAAACCATCGTGTTTATTCTCGAAAC